TGGGGAGAAAGAGGGGAAAAAAAGGAGGAGGATTGGCAATAGATGTTGGCTCAGGGCCAGTCTGCCTCAGCAAAAAGAGGAGAATTAGCATGGATGTTAGCTCAGGGCTGATCTTCCTCACCAAAAAAAAAAAAAAAAACATATAAAATTGTGAGGGATGCACCTAAAGCAGTTGTTAAAGGGAAGTTTATAGCATTAAGAGCTTATATTAGAAATTAAGAAAGATCTGAAATCAGTAATTTAAGCTTCCATCTTAAGAAACTAGATAAAGAGGAGATAAACCCAAAGAAATCAGAAGAAAGTAAATAGCAAAGATAAGAGAATAAATCAATGAAAAAGCAGAAAAATAATAGAGAAGATCAATGAAATCAAAGGCTGGTTCTTATAAAATATCAGTAAAATTGATAAAACTCTAGCTAGACTAACAAGGAAAAAAATAGAGAAGAAATAAACTACAATATCACGCGTGAAAGAGGAAGCAGCACTACAGATCATACAGACATTAAAAGGATAACAAGGAAATATAATGAACAACTTTATGCCAATAAATTCACAACTTAGATGAAATAGAGAAAATCCTTGAAAAATATAAACTACCAAAGCTCACTCAAGAAGATATGGATAACCTGAATAGTGCTATATCTGTTAAAGAAATAGAATTTGTAGTTAATAACCAAACCACAAAGAAAAGTCCAGGCCCAGATGGTTTCGATGGTAAATTTTACCAAACATTTAAGGAAAAAGGAATATCAATTCTACACAACATCTTTCAGAAAATAGAAGAGGGGGGGAACACCTCCCAATTAATTTTATGAGGTCAGCATTATGCTAATATCAAAACCAGACAAAGATAGGACAAAAGAAAAACTACAAAACAATATCCTTCATGAACAAAGACACAAATATCCTCAGCAAAATATTAGCAAATTAAATCCAGCAATAAATGAAAAGGATAATATATCACAACCAAGTGAAGTTTATCCCAGGAGTTCAAGACTGGCTCAAGATGGAAAAATCAATCAGAATAATTCACCATAGTAACAGATGAAAAAAGGTAAAGCATATTGTTATTTTTATTGATGCAGGAAAGGCATTTAATAAAATCCAATTCATGATAAAAAGTCTCAGCAAACTAGCAGTACAAGAGAACTTCCTCGACTTGATAAAAGGGACCTACAAAAAGCCGACAGCTAACATACTTAAAAGGTGAAAGACTGAATGCTTTCCCCCTTAGATCAGGAAAAAGTCATGGATGTCTGCTCTCATCATTTCTATGCAACACTGATAGTACCACAGGTTCTAACTATATACAAGGCTACTAGAACTAATAAGTGAGTTTAGCAAGGGTTGCAGGATACAAGGTTAATATACAAAAATCAATTGACAAACTAATTGTAAAATTGATACGGAATGGCAAAGGACCTAGAATATCCAAAACAACTCTGAAAACAAAAACAAAGTTGGAGGGCTAAAACTGCCTCATTTCAAGAATTATTATAAAGCTATTGTCATCAAAACAGCATGATATTAGCATAAAGATGAACAAAGAGTTCAACGAAACAGATTAGAGAACACAGAAATAGACCTACATAAATAAGACCAACTGATTTTTAACAAAGTTGCAAAAGTAATTCAATCGAGTAAAGACAGTCTATACAATAAATGGTACCAGAACAAATGGAATCAGTTTGCAAGGAAATGAACCACAACATAAAGCTCACATCTTTTACAAAATTTAACTCAAATGGATCATTGATCTAAATATAAAATGTAAAATTATAAAACTTTTAGGAAAAAAACATAGGAGGAAGTCTTCAGGATCTAGGGATAGGTGAAGAGTTCTTAGATTTGCCACTTAAAGCTTGATTCATAAAAAATTGATAAATTGGACTTAAAATTTTAAAATCTTTGTTTTATGAAAAATACTGTAAAGGGAAGGAAAAGACAAAGTATAGACTGGTAGAAAATATTTGCAAATTATATATCCAACAAAGAACTGGTATCAAGAGATAAAAACAGTACCTGGCTCTTAGTGTTGTTTTGAAGACTAAATGAGACAATAAATGGTACCAGAACAAATGGAAAGTCCTTAGCATAGTACCTAGCACATACAATCATTCAATAAATGTGAATTATTATAATTTTATTATCATTGTTGTTACAGCATTCTTTAAAATTGAGAAAATAAAAGCAAGACAAATGTTCATCAGTAGAGAAACTGTTAAATTATGTTACATCTATTACAAGGAATTTTAGGCAATGGTTTAAAAGAATGAAGTAAATGAAAGATGTCCAGGATTGTTGTGAAAAAAGAAAATAGCAGGACAATTTGTATAGAATGATCTCATTTGTGCAAAAAGAAAATTATATCTTTTGTAGAAATTTTTCTAGAGTGATACTCACCAAAGTGCTAACAGTTGTTATCCCTAGGGAGAGGAGTGGAATGAGGAGGGGTGCACAAGAAGGGTAGGACGAGGGGGGAAATTATTATTATTATATGTATTCCCAGATTGTTTAAATTTTTACAAGAATATATTCCTATATTATTTGTGAAACAAAAAAGACAAAAGAAAAGAATCAACTATCTTTTAAAAGAACAGTGATAAAAATAAGTTTGCCTTGGCTCATGGATTCAAGAGGATGAAGCACAAGCTTACCTTCGACTGAAAGATTTACCTAAAAACAGACTCAGCTTCCATTTGTAAGTTAACAGACACTACGGGAGTGCTTCCTGTTGGCTTGGTTGTGCCACTAACTAACTTTGTTTTGTTATTGTGTTACAAATGTTAGACTGTGGACTTCTCGAGGACAGGGATCAAGTCTTTTTTTCTATCTCTCTAGCTCGTGACACAGGGCCTGTTTCAGAGTTGGCGCTCAATTAAAGGGAGGAAGGAATAACTACTCAGGACAAGATCCAAATTAAAGGTGGTGAGCGTAATAGTGCGCTGTCCACGCCCTGTTGAACTGACACATGATCGCCATCTAGTGGCATCAAGGGATTTCTGTAGAACTTGGGAGAGGAAAGGACTCTTCTTTTTGAGGGGTGCTCCAGGGATGCCTTTCAACAAAACAGCATTGACTGTCTAAAAGACTATGACTCTCATTAGAAAAACTTCCCAACCGTGGGCTAAAAGCTGAAGGTTTATGTCTTGGAGTGTTGGTAAGATGACATCTAGGTACTTTTGTGTCTTAAGTCTCTTCCATCACCATCCCAGCATCACATGCCCCACATACCTGTAAGCTGTGTAAAGTCCTCACTTGCCACACCTCCATTCCACCCAAAAAGAATGAACCTCGTATGATAATAGGTATATGCATTAATGCCTCCCCAAAGTTGATGCTAATGAACTTTCCTAAGCCAGTCTGGTCAGAAGATATAAAACAGGGCTGGAAAAAATCTTCCATAAACTTTGCCCTCCTGGTTCACCATCTTTCTGAATCATCTAGTGGAAAGAGAGTGCCACTCTGAAAATATCTAGTGAACTTTTACAATGTCTCACACTCCAAAGGGCAACAAAGAAACCCACTCTGTGACAAACCCTCACCTGTCCATGCAGGTCATGGGGAACAGGTTTTCTTCTCTTGCCTCCTTTGAGTATCAATGAGTCTTTAAAGCAGCTTCACTGTTAGGGAAGCAGCTGGGTGATTCAGAGGCTGAGAAATATTGGACCTTGTGTTTATGGACTTAGGGACTCAAAAATAATGATGAAGGGACACACTGGTAGTTAATCTAAAAAAATCTCCGTATGTATAGATCTCTGACATCTACCTTCTAAGTAGAACAACATTCCTCTCAAATGTTGCTCAGGAGAACATACAAAAAACTTCCCAAAGACTCCTAAGAGAGTGACATTGTCTAGTCCAGGGTCAACGGGGAAAGGCATCCTGAGCAACTGGATGTTCAGGAAACACTCATGTCGCATATTTTGGAAGTATTCATATATGATTAAAGTCTTCTTATAATCCCATATCCTCCACTTCTGCACTGTATGTGCCTCACAAATGTGGGAAGAAAAACACTGGTCAAATTTGGCTGAAACGGGGACACCAGTTTGGACCAGAGCAGACAGGGATGCTTTATTCTTACTACTGTGCTCTGGAGTTACAGAGAAACTAGGAAGTATGAACAAGATGGATCCATCAAGCTACTCCCAGCCTTAAAAAAGCGGGAAGTCCTAACATCTATTTATATGCAACTCCCTGAGGGCTGAAGTAGTTCTTCCTAATGGCTGAAGAACACTCAGTAAGCAAGGAGGACTTGAAGCGATTGTTTTGAAGACCTTATCTTGAGGGCGCTGATGGAGATAATGAACGTTTGAGCTGTCCTTAGTACATTTAAAATGTTAATGGCATGTGTAGGAAGATGTGCACTTCCAAGTCTCTTATTTCATACTAGCAAAAGTCCACGGCCCCTGTTCGTACTAGAAAAGCGTGGTGTTAGCATAAAGAATAAGTTGAGAAGCAACACCATGAGAAACGAGTTACAGTCTGTGGAAGGCTCCAGACAGGAGTGTCTGATGACAGTTACGCGAGAGAGAACTCCTTACGGTCCAAGGGGAATGCAGGAGCCTCCCTGGCCGCCTGGCCCAGGCAAGCCCCGTCCCGCTGTCCCTCTCCCTATCCCCTGCCCTGTCCTCCTCGCTGGGCAGTGGGATTCGGGGCCACTCCCCGTCAGAGACAGGGTGACTCTTTCGAAATGTTTCCCTGGCCGCTCCTGCACCAAGACTGGCGCCCGGGGTTTCAGCCCCAAGCCGCCTTCCTCTTCTAGGGTCAGCGACAATCTGGAGCCGCCGGCCCCGATGGCAAGGGCAAGGGCCACCGGCCCCCGGCCTGCGGCTGGGCGACGCTGGCTCGACGTGCGATTTCGCTTTCCGTCGATCGGCCTTGTCTGCAGCCCCGACCGCTGGGAGCGGCGGCATCTGGAGCGCCCAGAGCCCCGGGGCTCCCGGCGGGCGGGGACCGGAGGACGCGAGGGCCGGGCGGGCGGCGCCCCTACTCACGTAGCGCTGTAGCTTCCTCTCGGGGGGCGACTTGACGAGCCAGCCCGTGCACACGGCGTCGCCCGCGCTCATCGTGGCCGCCGCCGCCGCCGCTTCCTCCAGCTGGGTCGGCCGCCCGCGGCAGGAGGAAGTCGGGCCAGGGATGCCGGCGGGGCGGGCCCAGCGCCCGCCCGCCCAGCACCGCCCCGAGCGGCCGCCGCGACCCCCCGGGAGGGCACAGGCGCCACCGCCCGCGGCCCAGGATGGCGGGAGAAGCAGGCGGCGAAGCCCGGGGAAGCCCCTTCGAACAAGAGAGGAGTTGCCAGCGGCTGTGCCTGCGAGGGCCCCGGGGAAGGCGCCCCGCCCCTCTAACCCAGGGGCCCGAGCAAGTGGCCGGTAGCCAGGGCCACGGGAGAGCGCGGAAGGAGCCTCGCCACCTAACGGGAGCGCCATATGGACCTATCCCCAGTTGCCCTCGCCCCCATCCCTGATCTGCCACGTCAAAGGGGCTGGTCCCCGGGCCTCAGGGTCATGGGAGCCGAAACCTCGGACCCGCACCTGCCATGTATACAGCTAGGGAGGAAGAAAAGCGTGACTCCTCTTTGACTTCCCTGTTCTACTGGATCGTTTGCAGACTAATGGTTCTCTTATGCCCCTCCCCCAAGATCACTGTAGTCAGCGTTAAGTTCCGCTGCAAAACTGTTGAAATGTCCTCCTGAACCCAAATCATCCAAATTCAAAAGATTAAAGCATGGAAGTGCCGTTTGCAGTCTCTTTGACCCTAAAGTTTTAAAAGGTGGAGCTAAAAATGATTGTGCCAGATGGTCTGCTGAGCATTTTAAATAACAGCAGTAACAATAATGTACACGTTTATTAAGACTTTCTTCAGCACCAGTCACTATGCTAAGGACTTGGCAGACATTATTGCATTGGAGGCACATAAAGGCCCTATAGATGAGCTTTATCATTATCTCAATTCTGCAGGTGAGTAAAATGAGAAACAGGATGATAAGGTCACCTGTCGAAAGCCACACAGCTAGGAAATCGCTGGAGAGGCAGCCAGTGCAGTCTGTCCTACTCTTCTAAGTGCCACCCTCCACCCTTTCTGAACACAGTTTGTAAACAGAAATGCACTGACGTCAAAGTTACAGTCAACACCTAAGATGCTAATCCATGTGACATTTGGTGCTCTTTTCCCTTACTGTGATGCTGCTCACTTGAAAGTGACACTTGGAAGAAACAAATGCCACATCATCTCTGTGACTTACAAAGAGACTTCCCAGCCTGCTACCATACATCTGAATTTCCAGGGAGAGCTGACTCTTTCATATGGCAGGGTTCATTTGTTGTTCTGTGAGCAGTCAAGGTTCAATGGAGGGAACAGCACCTGCTCCAGGTGTTTCAGGCAGAAAGCATTTACTTTAGGGAGGTAGGTGCTTACAAAATCCTCAGAAGCACTAGAGCAGTAGGAAATGGGGCTCCAAGGTCACATCACCAGAGCTGCCACACAGTGGTTAGGAGACGGTCGCTTCCACAAAGTTGGACTCAGCTACCGCCGCCACTCACACCTCTCCAAGCCCACTCCACTCTCACTGCCACCACAATCGCCCACCTCCTTTCCACATTCCACATCTCACACTAGTGGACCTAATTAGCCAAACGTAATATACATTCGAGGTAGAATGTTAAATATCTTTTTTTAGCTCTCCCATCTTTCCAAATAGGAGGATGAAATGGAAGTTGAGAGGGAAATCACATATCCACCACAGTACACGCCCCTAGCTATTCAATATCCATACACACCCTTGTGCACAAAATAAAGTTACTATAGCAACAACTGATTTCCACCAAAATAATACTGCTATCTCTCCTACAAACTAAAAAGCACTCCTTAAAACAAGAGACCAAATGTTTGATCAGTCATTGTAGCCATCTCTAGGGGGTAGTCATTCCTCTTCTAGTTCAGACACCATCCGACCTCAATATCCTATAACCTGAAGAAAAACATGATAAAGCTAACCTCTATCAACCTTTATTTGATGTGATTAAAATATAGAGAGAAGGAAGATTGGAGAAGTTTATATGTACACACACAGAGCTACTATAATCCTCATTTCTATAATTGGTCTTGAGACCATAATTGGTCTTTATAACTTCCTTCCTCCACTACTCTCTCTATCCTTCCTTTGCTCTGCAGCCAGGACCTCAGCTGCTCGGAATTCTTTACCCAATGAGTGACCCAAACCTTTATTCCCCCTGAGTCTGAATCCTCAGTGGTCCTGCCTGGACATGGCATAGTAGGAGGTGCCCCAGAAGACCCCTTGGATCCAAGACACAGTCCTTCCCAGTCTCATTGTTTAACAGCAACCGCATTTCCACTTGATAATCAACATCAACGATCCAAACCAGCTCAGTAGACATGTGGTTTGCCTGTTGGTTTACTGGCATAAAGAGCCCTAAATGGCCAGATGGCAATCTCAACTTGCAGTTCAATGGAACCAATGTTGTGGCCCTGGTGGAAGCATTGCCCCCTTGGAAACCAGCAGAGCTCAAAGCTGTGGGGATAGGAAGAAACACCTTGAGAGTGGATTATTTGGTGTAACAGTGAGAAGAGTTGCTCCCACTTCCAACTCTTGATTCCTGGACCCATGGATTCTGGCTGTGGAGAAACAACACCATATAAAGGTCACCAGTTCAAAGTATTTACCTCATCCTATAAGACAGAACCTCCACCTTTCAGTGTATTTTCATCTGACCAGTACAGTAACTGAGTCTTCAATAGACAGACCATCCCACCATCCTATCAGGCCAGGTGCTTCAGGGTGACGAGGTATATGAGGACTAGCGTAGTCCCTCAGCAGGAGCACATTGGCACGTGTCTTTTGTCTTATAAGGATTTCCTCGGTTGGAAACACTGTTATGTGAGATATTGCAAAAGTGAATAAGGGGCATTAAGTCTATGGGTGGGAATGCTGGCAGAAATGTGGATTCTAAGAAGTACCTATTCCAGTGAGAACAAATGGTTGCCCCTTCCCAATGGATGTGGTTTGATTTCATTAATCTGCCACCAGGTGGCTGACTGGTCCCCCCAGGGAATGCAGCCTTACTGGGATCTCAGTGCTGGTCTCTGCTGTGGGCAGGTTGCATACATAGCAGTGGCAGTGGCAGTGGCTGTGACCATATAAACTGATGCCAGTCCCTAGGAGCCTCGCCACTCATTGCTGATTCCCTTAACTTTGCTCCCACCTCTGTAAAAAAAATCCCCTCATTATACTCTCCTCAGTTCAACCCATTGAGTCTACTATTTGCTTCCTTCTGAGACCATGACCGATATACCTAGTCACAGAGAACTCCCTATAAGGTTACAGATGTGAGTCAAAGAAAAGGGTGGCATGCAGCAGCTGAGGCCACAGAGATGTGAGCCACCTGCTCGAGCAACTTTCCTGTACCTTCCAGACCTGCTTGAGTCTAGTCTCAAATATTCCACTTCCGGTGGATGATCAGTTAGCACCCAATTTATCAAGGGCAGCTGAGGTTACACAGTTCTTTGGTGCCCCTGGTCAGGCATTCAGACTTTACCACAGCCCACGAGCAAGCCAGAAGCTGTTGATCAAAAGAAAAATACTTCTTTTGTGGTAGAGGGCATGATGCTTCAAAACTCTAGGGCTCCACTGTATGTTTGTCCTATTAGGACTTGCCAGAGGCTCCATGTAACCTCCCAGGGTACCAAAGGCTCTATGCATGTGGGATCTGTGTGATCATAAAGGTCAAAGTGGCCTGGACCTGCTGCAGAGCCTTTCTTTGCCCTGGGCCCCACTGAAAACATGCAACCTTATGGATTACTTGCTGAATGCATTGATGTGGCACAATTAAATGTAGTGTATGTTGCCTACAGAATCCAAAGAGCCCCACCAAATGCTGTGCCTCTTTCTGAGTGGCAGGTGGTATGAAGTGCAGCTACTTGTCGAATACCCAACGTGGTCCAGACCATCTCAAAACGTCACTGAGGGTCAGACTCTTGAGTTTTCATGGGCTTTATCGCCCACCCTCTGGCATACATGCGTCTTAATAAAATATCTATGCTACCTCTTGATCACCAGGTCCAGTAAGCATAATGTCTGCAGTGTAATGGAACAGCAAGATGTTCACCATGATTGTCGCAACAATCATGTTCCCTTCACCCTAGATTATGACAGAGAGCCAGAGGATAGAGACAGCCTTGAGGTAAGGCACTAAAGTCATTCTTCTGTTTCTGCCAGATGAGAGAAAGCTGCTTCTGATAGTCTTTGCTGATTGGGATAGAGAAAAGAGCACTTGTCAGATGAACAGCTGCTTACCAGGTGCTAGGGGCTGTTCTCTAGGAAAACAGCATCATCCGCAATAGCAGCTTCAATTTAAGTCAACGACCTGATCAATCTTACAATCACCCACTATTCATCTCCCGGGTAACCAGGTAGGTTAAATAAGGATGTGATATGAGTAATTATTCCTGCATCTTTCAGGGTGTACTGTTCTCCTTTCCAGATGAATCCAAATTGCTTCTGCATGGTTACTCCTCCAAACTTTCTAGGGAGAGATGACCTCTTTGTAGGGCAACTTTCATTTTCCTTTTGTCAAGCCCCTTCCTAACTTGTTTGCACTCCACCCTGAGGAGAGGAGATCATTTGAATAGCAAGTGGTTTTCAGCACCTGGATTCCCTTTGTGGCTTCCCTATTTATTATTTTAAAATAGGTTTAGTTTGGCAGTTCATTAAGTACTGTAAATCTTATAACTAGAAGGATTTGTGAAAATAAATGTTCATGATCAAGGAAGAGTTTCTATTTCAATTATGTTATGAGGGGCAAACTGGCCATGCATCTAACTTACTCTCTGTCAAAAGACAGAAAATTTGAAAAGAAAATGCCTCTCCAATTTCTGGATCAGGGATTGACATGGGGAGATAGCTGTACATGTGTGTGAAAGGCCAATAATGAGGGAAGAGGGCTGTGCCTTGCTAAATCCCCCACCTCCCACCCACCTCTTGTTCTGATAATCTACGAAGCATGTGAATTAAAGGCCTAGAGTGCCATGGTACAATTTCAGATAGGGCAACTTTCTTTTTTCCTATATGGACGTCTATAAAGTGCTTCTCTGAGAGTGAAAGCAGCCTAATTTCCATCTGAAATGTGAAATTTGACTTTATTATTATCAATGATAGTCTTTTTCACGCCTT